GAAATGAAGATAAGTTAGGAATGGGTCGTTTTACTCATTTTAAGTACCTTTAACTCTGTCGCACGATTTTGCCATAAAAGAGAGAAATACGACGAGTAACGTAACTCCAGCAATTAACCCAACTATGATTGCTAGTGTCTTCTCTATCTCATCGTCATTATTGCGTTGATGTCCACCTAAACCCCATAATTTCGAAATAAAATAAAAATGTGCCAAACATAAAATCATTTGAACAATGGTCAAAATATTATATGCGTTAATGTATGTACAATCTAAGTGAAGAAATTAACGATCTTCAAAACAGAAACCTACAAACTAATTAATTAAAAAAACAAACAAGAACCCTAAAGGAGAAGAAACGAAAGCAAAGAGAACGTTACCGTAGCCGTTGGCTCGTGAGTGACCTCCACGGGCATAGTAACGCGCGTAGCACTTGGCTAAGTACACGTCACCCCAAGCGGCTGTTCCACAATCCGATCTCAGCCGTCCGATCGCTTCCATCAAACAATCTTGACACTCGGTCGCACTGAGATCTCCTGTGCACTGCGCCACACCTAGCAAGCCCCCAGACACTCCCACTCTGTATGACCCACCGTTACTCGCCGCTAAATAACCCACCACCGAGTCTCTCCGAGTCAACTCGTCCGAGTTATACCCAATCGGTAGTCCGCACCGTCTAACCACCACCGTCTTATCTTCCACGCCGAGGAATGTTGCGTTGTCGTATTTCACGAAACAGCCTTCGAGCTGCAACGCGCCACCGCAAGCGCCTACGCAAAGACTTCCTAGCCGGCTAACGGCTCGAGCCACGCACCTAGTGCAATCCCCGGAGCTGGAGGAGAGGTCGCCGCGACACTGGTAGAGTCCGTAGACGGAGCCGGGGCTGTCACCGTCGACGGTGAAGTTGTTGTATGTGTAGAGAGAAGCTGAGCTAACGAAAGAGGTGAGTAGCGAGTTGACGTTTGACTCGTAAGGTGATCCCGGAAAGTATTTTGGTTGCGAGCAACCGCCGTAGACAAAAGTGTCAACGTCGGCGAATGAGAATGTTTCGACTAGGGAGAAGACGGCGATAAAGAGAATCGGTTTTGTCGGGAACATGACTTTCGCCGATTTGCTCTGTTTTTTTTTTACTCTAGAAAGTATGAGAATATTGAAGCAACTTTTGTAATGCTTGGTGCGTTACTACATGATTATTATATGAGCACATATATTATATATACATTTTTTTATTATATGCTTATGGGTTTCTATAGTGGATTCTCAATGCAATTTCTATTTTACATTTATTTTTCACTTGAAAATATATACTATCATACGCTAGTTATTTTGTATTGAGTAATACACATCTAAAAGTTATATACCCGATTTACACAGCTTCGGAAATTTATTTTCCTACGTATCAATAGGCTTAAGAAAAACAGAAGGGATGTGTGATGCACAAATAAACTGCATGCACATAACAAATTTGTATGTTAGAGATTACCAAAAAAAAAGTTGTATTTTAAGAGTATAATTAGAACATCTCCAATGTATTACTCTATTTTTCACTCCAAAATGAAGTTGGATTTTACTCAAATGTATTACTCCATTTTTCCCTCCAAAAA